GCCCTGTCTAAACATGGTTTCCACCATGGAGGCCGTTGATTGAGTCTCCTGGGCCTCAGGGGCGCAAACTCTTCGGTTTCGGAAAGTAAAGCCTAACGAATAACTTTTAACATTCAGCTTCGGAAAATACCACTGCCTAGCATTCATCTAGCCTTCTCTTGAAAGATTCGACACTAATACAGTTAACCTACCTCAGACGAAGAATTAGAGCAACGCCTGGCTCCCGACTTTCGCCAAAGATGAGGCACTAGCCGAAAAAGATGAGGACAAAGCGGAGATGCAGGCATCATATTATTTCTCAGTGTACACCCCAGACTCCAGCACATATGCGTCGAGGACACAGGGAATCCAGGTTGAGTACGGCGCTTGTTAATTAGGCTGCAGGCATTGGTGTAGAGAACGTCCAATGTCTGCACCATGTGTTCCCTTAGCGGTAAAAGACTGCACCCAGGGCTTATGACCGGGTGCCCGCCGAGTTTTTTGTCTCGGTTGTAGAGTCCTTCCTATGTGGACTCCCGCAGACTGAGGTTACGGCAATAGCAGGCACCGCTTTCGGTGTTGCTGTTTCGGTGTCGAAACGGTTTAGCAAAAATGCTGATTCATTTGTGGAGAGCCCGGGTATGCGGGCCTTAGGGCTCGGTGAAACCTTTAGAGTGAAAGGTTGCACCCTTACTATCAGTCGCCTGGAGCTGCCTTGTGAGGGCGATGGCACAATAGCTACACTCTTCCAGCTATTCGCATAATCAGGGACTACGGTGATTTTGCCTTTAGTCAAGACTTGCACGTGGCCGGCTGCCGCTAACATGGCATCCTGGTGTCTAGGGTTTTGGGACTCTACCAGCGTTGGTCTTGGGTTACCTTCGCTGACAACGTAAGAGGTTTCCCTCCATTTCCCCAGTTGAAGGATTCCCTTGATATGAACATGCCCTGGGGTATTAGCAAGTCGTAAGATATTAAGCACCTGGTGGAGTAGGTGGTGTTTGCGCTTGCATTCTTCCCGACAATGTGGTTCAGCCAGCCCCCTAATCACCAAGTTGCGGTTTCTAACGAAAGCTATGTCGATGATCACTTCTAGTTTTTTAAGACACTGCCCAGTGAATTAGTGATTGTAGTTAGTCGGTGTATTGAAGCCTCGTGGTCGTTTGGTCTCTTACGGTGCAACTCGGATGTCGGTGCTGGTCCCTTATTGCATGGGCTTGGAACCTTACTGGAAAGATTTATGGGAGGTGAGTTTGAACCTTTTGATGGGACTAATAATTTATGCTGATCGGAGTGAGGCGAGCCTACTTTGCTGAGCTTCCTCCTTCTGCCATCGGTCTTTTTGGTGACAGGATGGGCTTTTCCTGGAGCTTTTTCCTTATTAATCCTGTTTGGCAAGGCATTTGCGGCCTTAGGAGTTGCTGCGATTACTTTGGGCACCAAATTCTGTTTGGTGATCTGTACCTCTTTATTCGAAGCCTGCTGGACGTTTGCCTCTTTTACGGTACCTAATGCACAAGTGGGGCAGAATACGGGAGGAATACTAGGTTTCTTCATCGTGGATGTCATGCATCCACTACAGGCCCACTTCGGGAACTTGTGTTCCAAGTAGATGCCGGCCGCCTTGGCTGAAAGTTGGCTGCATTTGAGATGGAACCAACTGTGGCACGCGTCGCACCGTATGCCCTCCTTGACCTCAGCAGAGCACCCTATGTACGTCAACCAGTTCGCACTTGAGTGACGCGTAGCCAAAACCGATACGAATCCCTAGATGAAATACGATTGATCCGTAATGTTCTACGGTACTGAATAAACGAAATCATTACAAATGTACAATAAAGTAAACCTCAAATATGCGGCCAAGAGCACTCAAGCAAGCGAGCCAAATATGATGTCCAGAGAGAGCCAAACAGTCGCTCGCTTTCTCAAACCACGCAAAATCCAAAGGTGCCGGGCATCGAATTAACAGATAAATAATAATAAATGGTGTTTGTGATTGAGAAATGTCAGTATAAGAGCAACACACAGATAAAGTTATTTCACTATAGATCATTATGGGTTCGGAAGGATTTTCAAAAATTCAGCATGAAATACATCCGCCTCCAAAATCCGTCCTGCGCTCGTCTGAGTCAAAGGGTTGGCGCAGGTCATTGATTCTTATCTACCTATCTACCTCCCTAGTCCGTGCTCTCAGTGCTTCTATCTACAAACTGTTCAGCGTTCGCCACCCTCTTTGATCTTGACCTCCGACGACTTGCACGTTTCTTCGTCGAGATCTCCCTTCTGCATCAGCACGCTTGCAGCCAGTCGCACGATAACTTAATAGCAGTGGGTAAAATTAATATCATTACAGATAAAGTCTCGATGTTGTAACAAGGAGGGGGGAATGTGGGCGGTGTATTTAATGTTCAGGTTTTACAAATGAAATCATGTTCAGTTGGAAGGTGATTGTGTGCATGTGAATGGATAAATGTTGTGATGACATGGATCACACCTTCGGAGTTAATGTCATGAATTGTGTATCAATTTGATAAAAGGATACTAAGTCACGGAATGAAATGTTCACATAACATCGTCAATATTTTTCGCACCGACCGTATAAGCCGTTCCCAAACTCCTCCGCGGTGACTGCTGTACGGTGGGTTGAAGTGCCATTGGGTTCCAGATGGCGACAGTCGGTTTTGCAGGGCGCGTTTGTCTAACCGCATCAGCCGGTCGCTCAACTCCTTTTGTACACCGACGAAATTGGACCCGTTGTCGGAGAATACATTCGATGGATTACCTCGTCTACCCACGAATCTCCACCAGGCCATAATAAAGGAGTCGGTCGACATGCTGTGCACGGTCTCTACGTGCGAAGCTCGTGATTGCAGGCAGGTCATCAGGCATCCGTATCGTTTCTACATCGACGTCTTTCGTTTCACCTACAGTGGCCCGAAGTAGTCCAATCCAGTTTCGGCGAAAGGCCACCAACCTGGTCGTACTCGAGAACTCGGTAACGAAGCCATCAATTGTTTACTGAATGTAGAATTCTGCCCACGACAAAAGAAACACTTCCCCTCGGTGCGCTTTACCGTAGCTGTCCCTTTCACTATTCAGAACCGACGGCAAATCGTATTGAGTAGGTGAATTTCCACGGCATGACCTTCC